AACCCACTGGGCTAAGCCCCTAATATGCTGGTCATAACACTTCTCCCCGCCTGCACAAACAGCTCGTCCTCAAGCTGTAAGGTGGGGAAGCGCTTGCTGAACTCCTCGAGGTGATCAACCAGCGTCAAACACCTTCACGACAGCTGGGGCGGCAAGGTCGGCGGCGACACGTCCTCCGGAATGTAGTATGCAACCTCCAGGTAGAAGAGTCGCGGGCACGCGTGGTCGGGCGTGTAGGGCTCGTCGCAGTTGAAGCACAACCCTTGGCGGCGACGCTCGAGTAGCTTGACCGAGGTGAGCCGGCGGAATGGGCGCCCCGTGGTCGCGACGAGGGGTGCCGTGGGAGCCTAAGCAGGCCGACCCTGGGCGGGATCTGGCCAGGGTAGCGACCTAGTGGCCCGGGACGGTGACTCCTGCTGGACGGCCACCGCGCAGTGCACGAACGCACGGGCGTAGTACATGGTCGTCTGGAGATCCTAGGGTCCCCGAAGCTCCACGTCCATGCGGATGTGATCTGGAAGTCTGCCGACAAAGAGGTCGGCCCGCTGCTGCGCCGTAACGCCCGATGCATGGCATGCCAGGGCCTGGAAACGGTCGGCAAAGTCCTGAACCGTGGAGGGGAAGGGTAAGCGGCCTAGCTCCGCCAGGCGGCCCTCGTGGATCGGGGGCCCAAAATGAAGGAGGCAGAGCTCGCGGAAGCGCTCCCAAGGGGGCATGCTGCCCTCGTCCTGCTCGAGGGCGTAGTACCAGGTCTGTGCCGCGTCGCGGAGGTGGTAAGAGGCGAGCCAGGTGCGCTCCGAGGCGAGGGTGCGCTGCCCGCGAAAGAACTGGCCGCACTGGTTGAGCCAGTTGAGGGGGGTCCTTCGTGCCGTCATAGGTGGCGAAGTCGATCTTGGTGAACCGCGGCGGTGTCTGGGTCGGAGCGCTGTGTCGAGCTGGCTCGGAGGTGCGGAGCAGCGAGGCGGGTGGCGCCTGGTCGGAGTACTCCGGGTAGGGACCCGCGGAGCCGGATGGCCCGGCGAACTGCAGAAATGGGGCGGCTGCTTCGGAGCCATGGTGTAGACCAACGATGGTGAAGACCCAGTCGCCCAAGCTGGTAGTGGCGATGGGGAGGGCGGGAACCGGACCTGGTGTATCGGCAGGCCGGCTGGTGGCGGCAGTCCGGAGTTGGGTAGAGGTGGCGCCTGGAGTTGCAGCGGCTGTTGTGGAGAATGGGCCGACGCGGCGGTAGCGGCGGTGGCAGTAGGGGGCCACTGTGGCTAGAGGGAAGCCGCGGCTAGGGGCGGCTGCAGGTGCAGCAGCGGCGATGGCAGCCCGCTGTGGTGCCCCGCCTGGAATGGCAGCAGCGGTGTCCCGCCAATTGCAGGCGCGCCCTGGGATGGCTATGGCAGCCAGAGCTGGGTCGCGGCTGAGGGCGGCTGTAGGTGCAGCAGCGACGGGGGCCCGCTGGTGTGTCCCGCCTGGAACGGCAGCAGGGGCATCCCGCTCGGGCCAGATGTGTTCTGGATCGGCCAGTGCAGCGCCGGATGGCTGTAGGTGGGGGGCGCAGCCGGCGGGGTGGCCTGCGGGCCGGCCAGGTATAGGGTGATACCCTGGACGGCCGTCACGAGGTCCCGCAAGGTGCTGGACATCTCCTCCGGCGTGAAGACAGGAATCGTCGATGGCGCAAAGGTGACTGGAGCCGGCGGCGCGGAGGTGATCGGGGTCGGCGGTGTTGGGGACCTGGCCGTGGTCATCGGGGCGGTGGTGATGATGGGCAGGGGCGGCGTGGGTGGGGATGACGAAGTACCAAATTGGTGGAAACTAGGATTCTACCCGGTCTAGGGCGTAGCCTGTAAGGGAAGGAGGGAGGAGGTCGGAGAAGATTGCGCGGCGGCCGGCGGCTGGGCGCCGTCCTTGCGGCTGGTGCAACGGCGGCGGTCATAAGAGGCGGCTAGGGTTTAGGTCTCCCGGCTCCCTAAGGGAAGCCGAGCAAATATTGATTGCTTCTTGTCTGATTAGATTGATACATCTCCTCCCCTTATATAGAGAGGTTTACTTGACTTCTAAGCAAACAATCCTAATACGATAAGATAATTGGGCTAAGCCCCTAATAATGATTAAGATACTTGGGCCATAACCCACTGGGCTAAGCCCCTAATATGCTGGTCATAACACACGTCATAATCAAACACCAAAGTGCACCACTTATGTAGTGGCCACAAATGCAAAGTATGATCTGTTAAATTGGCCCTCACTGCAATTTGGATGATGTTCGCCACATAAAGTCGTCATAGTTTATAGTTGCTGAATCAACAACTTTAATTCCCTCTATTCGATCCAAAACATGCTCTAAAATTAAAAAGAGAATGCAACTAAACACAAAACAATATGCACAAGATATATGAATTTAGGTAAATAAGATAAGAGGAGTTATTTTGCACCTATATTAAACCAGCAAGACAACTCCATATTCGAGGTACAAATCTTGATTGATGACTTAAGAGCACACAATAATTTTCTTTATCAATGAACAACATAATCACAACCTGCAATGCACCAAAGGGGTTACCAAACAGTGAATACAATATTCTATCAGGTTCGGAAGCTTGCAGCAACAACATGTTTCAGCTATGAATAATTGATTGTAGCTTAGTTTTGAGTTCTTACACGAGTGTAGACACTGCAAAATGTTATTGCACACTTTGTCTAAGTTCTTATTTCAATACTGTGAAAGCATGTGACCATATACCTGAGTCCACCCACCAAACATCAGAGGTAGATCATTCAGTACTAGAAAAATGCTACATATCTTGTTCTTCAGTTTGCATCTATGTCTGTATGGTCACCTGCTTCTGTTTGAACCAAACTTGATGCGAGATTTGAGGCGGGGGCTGGGGCTCGCGGAGATGGCCATGACGGCTCGGGATCGAGCACTGGCGGGGCAGCCGGGGCTCTGGCGGTCCTCCAGGTTTGGCAGGGTGAAGCGGCGGGGCCCGGGGAAGGCGGCGGAGTGGCGGCAGTGGCCACCAGGGTGGAGGAGCGGCTGCGGCGGGAACTTTCCAGAGGTAGTTGGGCGTGCAGGCTTTTACTGGTGTTTTGCTTGGGCGGCAGCTGGTGATGCAAATTTGCATCACCAAGTGACGTATTTTACATCTACAGCAAAATCTGAGTAAAAAATTATACATCTACATCATCTTTTGGAGCAAGTTTTTGGGACAAAGTGATGGAAAAAAATCAGTTATTTATACATCTACATCACCTATTGGAGATGCTCTTAGTGTTGCGGTGCTGAAATGTTGTGTCGTAACAAAGTTCTTGTGAGGCATATTAAGTCTAGATAGAAAATTTTATCCTTCGGATTCACTATTCGTGCTAGGACATTGATTAACAAATGACTATTTGAATTGTGTGTAATTTCATGACGTCCTTTTCTATTTAATCGTATTTAGCAAAACTTCTTGATTCTCTTTCATGGGATTCTGTTAGTTTAGGTATTCTATTTGTACCCAATGCAGAAGTTGCATAGTTCTGTTTCATTGCTACGCTGACCAGTTTATAACATGCTATTGCACAATAATACATCACTGTGCATTTTGGTTGACACAAATGCACAGAAAGCTGTATCATTGATTACTCTGTGCTCTAATGCAGTTAAGAATAGATACCATAGTTGTCAGAAAACAACTAGTAACACTGTCTAGAAAATTTCTCCGTGCAATGCTAAGTTTACTACTACTGTTACATCAATTGCACCATCTACCTATGTAATACAGCGCACCATGTGCAATTTTTTTCGAACCGGGCATGACCCCTTTCCATTGCAAATGAACGGAAATACAAAGTTCCGAGAACAACAGGAGGAAAGGGAAAGAAGTACATCGAGTTCGAGCATTGCCAGGAAACCCGCTGCGTTCGCTCGTCATCGTAACGAACACCATGGGGCGAAAACCTGACAGCACCATAGTTCAAAATCAACACTAAAAGTCTATTACAACCAGGCACCAACACACAAAGGCAAAAGCACGAAAAGCCAGATCTTGACCCAACATAAGCATTTCGAAGCCAAGCTTGCACAATCATTCTCCCTCGATTGGCCTCCTCGCCGCTTCGCACATCTTCATCAGCCGCATTGTGCTCGACCTGACCATCTCCGCCCCGCTTCGCAGCTCCTTGAGCCCTTCTTCCTATTGTAAACCTGCCCAGTACAGCAAAAAGGAAACCATGGAGAAAACAATCTCAAAGGGAGTTTTAATCTGTTTTTTCTCAAAAGTTGCTCGGTTTCGAGCAAGCCAGATCGCCCAACAAACAGCAGCAAGACCCACAGTATAATACTTTCCTCTAGCAAGGAGGAAGGTGTTGCACCAAGAGAAATATTGCCAGTAACTATTCGGGCACAAGTCAGTTCCCAAAGCCATTCCAACACATCTCCAAATTACTCTAGAAACCGGGCAGGCAAAAAATAAATGTTTGGAAGACTCAACCTCATTGCAAAACGAGCACTTGGGGTTCCCAGGCCACCATGTGCAATTATACAGAGAGATACTTGAGGTAGGCAATACTCCATGTGGTTCTACTGGTTTTCTTTCTCTGATGATTGGAGTTCCATTGCATGCAGGACATCTGGCATCGTATACATTCCCTAATGCCAATGTGTGATGCTTCTCGTGCTACTTGCCTTTCTCGCGCCTTTCTACATTCCTGGAGGTGTCATCCCAACCTCACCTTGGACTGAGCTTTGCTCCAAGTCCAAGGGAGGTGGAGGAAATTTTAGCTGCAAAATTGACAACATAATTAGAAACCACTCAGGAATTGGCTTGAAGACATTGGAGCTTGATATATTTGATGATGACCGTACCTTGCCTTATATTGACAATTGGCTCCAGTTTGCTGTCACACCAGGGATTGAGGAGCTCACCCTTGTACTATAAAAAAAGTACAACTTCGCATGCTCACTTTTATCTGATGGAGTTAGAAACTCAATTCGGTATCTTGAACTTCGCCGCAGTGCCTTCCGTCCCATGGCTGAACTTGGCCCCTTGAGAAGCCTAACAACTCTCCATCTTTGTTCTGTGCGTATTACTAGGGATGAAGTAGGGTGCTTTCTTTCCAACTCCCCTGCTTTGGAGCAGTTGAAACTTCATGATTGCAAGGAGATGACTTTCCTGAAGATACCTTGCATGCTGCAGCGGCTCAGTTGCCTGAGTGTTTGTTCATGCTGGATGCTTCAATTGATAGAGTGCAAAGCTCCAAATCTCTCCAGCATTTACGCTAGTGGAGAAAATATAAAACTCTCACTCTCAGAAGCATTGCGCATGAAGGACTTGTGCATGTGCTTTCCCAACGTCATCGGTTATGCTCTTGCCGAGCTGCCGTCCATTATGCCAAATCTTGAGACTCTTGAAATAGGTTCAGAGGATGAGGTAATACTACTCATAAGACTTTATTTAGGATGAGATATTTGTTAATAATCTGAAGATGACATGTATTTGTTGTGCAGGTGGTTAATACACCAATGCTGCCTGCCAAATTCATCCACCTCAAGCACCTGAATATTCAAATTACGGAATCCGATGATTATTTTCACCTAGCTTCTTTCTTGGATGCATCTCCTTCCTTGGAGACTTTGTTCTTGGATGTAAGTCACTGTTCATTCATTCTGTTGGGGTTGGTTACTCAGTTGGGTCCGTCCATCTATTCAATTACCTTTTTTCCATCTTCATTCAGGTATCTAAGGATAAGGAATATGTGGATCATGAATCAATTTTTGGAGGTTCCTCACTACATTTGAGGCAGCTGCCCGAAGACCGCCATGTCTGCCTCAAACTCAAACGTGTGGAGATCATAGGGTTCAAATCTGCAAAGAGCTTGATTGAGCTCACACGTTGCATTGTCAACAAGGCAGTCTCACTTGAACTGCTTGTGTTGGACACCCTTGATGGTAGTGATAGGTGTTGTGGTGAATATAAGTGTAGGCCCACTAGCAAGACTGTTCTCGAGGAAAATAAGTGTAGGCCCATTAGTGAGACTGTTTTCAAGGAAGCCTCTAGAGCGATCGTGGCTATAAGAAGGTTTATTGAGGATCAAGTCCCGCCTACAGCTAAGCTGAGTGTCCTGGAGCCTTGCGCACGGTGTCATTCGAGTCATAAGCTTGCAGTTGGTGATATGGTGATGGAGGGTGGTTGATAGATGTCATAAGTTATCTTGTATAATTGCACCATGTATGATCATTTATTGAATTTGATTAGGTTGTAACATGCTTTGTTTCTTGGATTGTCGGATAAGTTATTTTGAAGGCGAAGTGTGTTGTCACTTTAATCTAGTAATTATTGAAGGAAATATGCCCTATAGGCAATAATAAAATTGTTATTTATATTTCCTTATATCATGATAAATGTTTATTATTCATGCTAGAATTGTATTAACCGGAAACTTGATACATGGGTGAATACATAGATAAAACGAGTGTTCCTAGTATGCCTCTACTTGACTAGCTCGTTAATCAAAGATGGTTAAGTTTCCTAGCCATAGACATGTGTTGTCATTTAATGATGTGATGGACAATACCCATCCGTTAGCTTAGCACTTTGATCGTTTAGTTTATTGATATTGCTTTCTTCATAACTTATACATGTTCCTATGACTATGAGATTATGGAACTCCCGAATATCGAAGGAACACCTTGTGTGCTATCAAACGTCACAACATAACTGGGTGATTATAAAGATGCTCTACAAGTGTCTCCGATGGTGTTTGTTGAGTTGGCATAGACTGAGATTAGGATTTGTCAGTCCGATTGTCGGAGAGGTATCTCTGGGCCCTCTCGGTAATTCTCATCACTATAAGCCTTGCAAGCAATGTGACTAAAGAGTTAGTTACGAGATGATGCATTACAGAACAAGTAAAGAGACTTGCCGGTAACGAGATTGAACTAGGTATGAGGATACCGACGATCGAATCTCGGGCAGGTAACATACCGATGACAAAGGGAACAACGTATGTTGTTATGCGGTTTGACCGATAAAGATCCTCGTAGAATATGTAGGATCCAATATGAGCATCCAGGTTCTGCTATTGGTTATTGACCGGAGATGTGTCTCGGTCATGTCTACATAGTTCTCGAACCCGTAGGGTCCGCACGCTTAACGTTCGATGACGATTTGTATTATGAGTTATGTGATTTAATGTACCGAAGGTTGTTCGGAGTCCCGGATGAGATCAAGGACATGACGAGGAGTCTCGAAATGGTCGAGACGTAAAGATCAATATATTGGAAGGTTATATTCGGACATCGGAAAGGTTCCGAGTGATTCGGGTATTTTTTGGAGTACCAAAGAGTTACGGGAATTCGCCGGGGGGAGTAGTGGACCTTAATGGGCCATACGAGAAAGGAGAGAAGGGCCTCAAGGGGTGCCCCCCCATGGCAAGTCCGAATTGGACTAGGGAGGGCGTGGCGCCCCCCTCTCTTTCCTTCTCCCTCTCCTACTCCTTCCCTCTCTCCCCTTTTGGAAAAGGAAGGGGACTCCAACTAGGATTGGGAATCCTAGTTGGACTTCCCCTATAGGCGCGCCCCTCCTAGGCCGGCCTGCTCTTCCCCCCTCCTTTATGTACGTGGGCATGGGGACACCCCAAAGGCACTCCAAGATTTGTCTTAGCCGTGTGTGGTGCCCTTCTCCACAGTTTTCCACCTCGGTCATATTGTCGTATTGCTTAGGCGAAGCCCTGCGTCGGTAACTTCATCATCACCGTCACCATGCCGTCGTGCTGATGAAACTCTCCCTCGGTCTCAACCGGATCAAGAGTTCGAGGGACGTCACCGATCTGAACGTGTGCAGATCGTGGAGGTACCGTGCGTTCGGTACTTGGATCGGTTGGATCACGAAGATGTTCGACTACATCAACTGCGTTACTAAACGCTTCCGCTTTCGGTCTACGAGGGTACGTAGACACACTCTCCCCTCTCATTTCTATGCATCTCCTAGATAGATCTTGTGTGTTCGTAGGAATTTTTTTGAAATACTGCGTTCCCCGACAGTGGCATCCGAGCCAGGTCTATGTGTAGATGCTATATGCACGAGTAGAACACAAAGAGTTGTGGGCGATAATAGTCATACTGCTTATTAGCATGTCATACTTTGATTCGGCGGTATTGTTGGATGAAGCCGCCCAGACCGACATTACATGACCGTGTTCATGAGACTGGTTCTACCGACGTGCTTCGCACACAGGTGGCTAGTGGGTGTCTGTTTCTCCAGCTTTAGTTGAATCGAGTGTGTGACGCCCGGATAATCAAGCTACAGTAAACCTCTGCTAATGATGCCAGGTCACCTCGGTTACTGTTGATAATCTCAGGATTCAGAATCGTTTCGGAATCCAAATTTGAATTAAAGTCAAAACAATTAAAGTTTTCAAAAGTCAAAACTAAATTGTTCCTAATGTGTCAAATAATCCATAATAAATGTTGGTAAAGAAATCATCATTTAATAAAATATTTAAATGCACTAAATAAACTAAAATGGTTTAAAACAGAAAAGTAAATAAATAAACAGAAAAAGAAAATAATCAAAAGATAATAGGAAAGCGGGCAAAAATAAAAGAGAACCCCCCACCCCCGCTGGGCCCCGGTCCAGCTGGCCTCAGGCCCAACAAGGCCGGCCCACCCCGCACCTCCCTGGCCTCTATGGCCCTTATCCCCCCGAAACCCTAACCTACCCCCACCCCACTCTCCCCACGACGCCCCTTCCTCTCTCCCGATCTGG